CTTTTTTCCCTTGCTCATTGTACATGTTCATTGGAGTCATCAGGCAGCCTCTGCTCCAAATAGACTCTTAGAGTCTAGACTGACAGAGGCTCTGTCACAGCCTGTGCTCCTACGGTCTTCCCAACAGAGCAAGGGGATGTGGCAGGTTGCACACCACCTCTTTAATTTTTATTGAATTTATTGGAGTGACATTGGTTAACAAAATCATATAGGTTTCAAGTGTACAGTTCTATATACATCATCTGTATATTGTATTGTATGTTCTGGTCTACTTGCTCATTTATTTTATTTTTTAAATTCCACATGTAAGTGAAATCATATGGTATTTGTCTGACTTATTTCACTCAGCTCAATACCCTCTAAGTCCCTCTATGTTGCAGATGGCGGATTTCATTCTTTTTTTTTTTTTTTTTTTATGGCTGAGTTTTATTTCATTGTATTTATATACCACTTCTTTATCCATTCATCTGTTGATGGACACTTAGGTTGCTTTCATATCTTGACTATTGTAAATAATGCTGCTATGAACATATGGATGCTTAAGTCTTTTTATTTTTAATCCTCACCAAAGGATATTTTTCCATTTATCTTCAGATAGAGTGAGAGGGAGGGAGGAAGGGGGGGAGAGAGAGACACACACATAGACATATAGATATGGATGTGTCTCACATCTACTGGTTGTCTCCCACATAACCCTGAACAGGACCGGGAATGCACCACAACTGAGATACATTCCCTTGGCTAGAATCAAACCCACAGCTCGTTGGTCCAAGCGTCGAGGCTCTAACCACTGAGCAAAACCAGCCAGGGCTGGATGCATAAGTCTTTCGATTTAGTGTTTTGGGTTTCTTCTGATAAATAGCCAGAAGATGTATTGCTAGGTTCTTCGCTGTCTCTTGTTATACATAGCCTTTGTTTTAAAGTCTATTTTGGTCCGGCCAGTGTAACTTAGTGGTTGAGCATCAACCCATGTACCAAGAGGTTGCTGGTTCGATTCCCAGTCAGGGCACATGCCCAGGTTGTGGGCCAAATCCCCAATGGGGCGGCATGCAGGAGGCGGCCAATCGATGTTCTGATTGGGTGTTTAATGCTTCCTTATCTTCCAAATTTCTGATTTGATTCTCTGCTTCATCTACTCCACTGTGGATTCCCTTTATGTATTCATCATTTTAGTCATTGTATTCTTCATTTGTGACTTGTTTTTTTTTTTTTTTTCTTTATCAGTTTTTAAGTTTCTTGTCTATTTGTTGAAGTTCTGACTAAATTTATTTACTCTTCCCTTAAGTTCATTAAATATCCTTATAACTAGTGTTTTGAATTCTGCATCTGGTCAATTGTTTGTCTCCATTTTATTTTGTTTTTTTAAAGATTCTCCATTGATCTTTAGAGAGAGAGAAAGGGAAAGGGAGAGAGAGACAGAAACATCAATGTGAGAGTGAAACATTGATCAGCTGCCTGCTGCATGCCCTGTACTGGGTGGGGATTAAGCTCTCAACCCGGGCATGTGCCCTGACAGGGAATTGAACCTGCAACGTTTTGGTGTACAGGATGATGCCCAACCAAGTGAGCCACACCAACCAGGGCTGTAGTGGCTTAGTTCTTTTTCTGGAGTTGTGTTCTGTTCTTTTATTTAGTACAGGTTGTAACAGAATGGTACCAACCCATTTGGTTTCTCCACCTGTCCCACCAGTCTCCATGTGACTTATTCGGTATATACTTAGTTACAGGACTTTTGTTCAGCTAGATTTCAGGCACCTCTGAATGATGATTGTTCTGTAGTTTAGTTGTAATTTCTTTTTTTTTTAATCCTCACCTGAGGATATTTTTTCCATTGATTTTTAGAGGGAGGAAGGAAGGGAGAGAGAGAGAGAAACCGAGAGAGAGATTGATGTCAAAGAGACACATTGATTAGTTGCCTCCCAAACGTGCCCAGACCAGGGCCAGTTGGGGATCAAACCTGCAACCCAGGTATATGCCCTTTACGAGGAATCAAATCCATAACCCTTTGGTCCACAGGCTGGTACTCTAACCACTTAGCAACACACGCCAGGGCTAATTATAATTTTGATGTGGTTGTGGGAGAATGCGAGTTCCATGTTTGCCTACGCCACCATCTTGACTGGGAGCTCAGGCTGGTTTTTCTATAGGAGTGGTTGACAGTTTGAAATGGTCTTTTCTCTAGGGGTCTTTATCTCTCACTGAGTATGTTTGTCTGTTTTCAAAACAGGGTGATACCCTAGCCAGTGTGGCTTGATTGGGCATCATCCTGTGCACCAAAAGATGGCAGGTTTGATTGCTCATCAGAGCACATGCCTGGGTTGTGGGCTCCAACCAGGAGGCAGCCGATCGATATTCCACTCTTACATCAATGTTTCTTTTTCTCTCTCCATCTCCCTTCCTGTCACTTTAAAAATCTTTTAAAAACAAAACAGAACAAACACACAGGGTGAACAGTTGCTACCACTGAGATCCTCAAAGAAGCTGCAGGACAAAATCAAGAGCCAGTCAGCCTGGGGTTGAATCCTTGCTCTGCCCTTTCTAGCTTATATTTTATCTCTCTACCTCCCACCCCCAGTTTACCTGTCTATAAAATGGGATTGTCAGAGTCCTACCCCATTGGGTTTTTAGAGGAATAAAAGAGTTCATATATATATATGAACTCATATATATATAGCTTTTAAAGCAGTGCCTGACATGGTGTAGGTGCTGTATGTGGTAGCTATCGCTCTTGCTGCTCCTGCAGCTGCTGTTAAAACTAGGAGCTTTCACCTGGATGGAGACAGTGGCATCTGCACACAGTGATGCTACAGAAAAAAAAACAGAATTCCCTCAGCACATTATCATACCTGATTAGGCACTTGACTCATTGCCTAAAGCTTTGCAGCATAAAACGCTGAGAAATGATTTGGACCTTAAAAAAAATTTCAAGGCAGCCCTGGCCTGTTTGGCTCAGCAGTTGGAGCGTTGGCCTGTGGACCAGAGGTCCTGGGTTCAGTTCCCACTAGGGGCACGTACAAAAAAAAAAAAAAAAATTCAAGGCAGTCCGGCTGATGTGGCTCAGTGGTTGAGCGTCGACTGATGCACCAAGACATCACCGGTTCGATTCCCAGTCAGGACACATGCCCGGGTTGTGGGCCCAATCCCCAGTGGGGGGCATGCAGGGGGTGGCCAATCCATGTTCTCTCATAGATGATTCTATCCCTCTCTCCATCTCACTTCCTCTCTCTATAAAATCAATAAAGGGAAAAAAATTTTTTTTAAATTTCAAGGCAAATGCACTACACTCTCAGTACGGCCACAGGAGACCTTAGTCTTTATCCCATGCAGTGTCTGGTTCAGAGCTTTATGGGTTTCTGGTGATAGGCAACACAAATGAACTGAAATGTTTCTATAATAACTAAATAAAATAAATTACTGATAAATGTTATTTGATAAGACAGTTGAAATTAGAAAAATTTTATCAGAGAAAGGTTTTACTTATAAAATAATTAATATAAAGACATTCTTTTTAATAATATTCTGGGTCCAACAAGAACCACCTGACTGTTGAGAACACTCCTGACTTGACCTCCAGCCTGACCATCAGTGGAGGAAGGAGTTGGTCTGTAGTTTATGCAGGTCTGCAGCCACAGGCAAGTAACTGCCATGAGCTGAGGAGAGAGCTGTTTTACATGCTGGAGCCTTTGCTGCTCTGTTAGGAGACGTTGCTGCCATCTTACCTCTTGAGATTCTGCCTCTCCAGCTAGGCCTCTAATCACCTCTTGTCCATCAGAGCCCAAAGCCAAGAAGTCAGTAGGGGTTTCTAATTATTCTTGCCAAGCTTTTGACGAGGTGATAGACGATTGGTAGTGGGGTAGGTTTGCCTGAATGCTTCTGTGGAATGGTGGATGGTGACCCTAGACATGTAGCATATTAGAAGGGAGCTGGCACAAATCTTTTTTTTTTTTTTTTTTATCCTCACCCGAGGATATTTTTCCATTTTTTGTACAGATAGAGTGGGAGGGAGAGAGAGGAAGGGAGAGACAGACAGAAACATCGATGTGAAGGGACACATCGAGTGGCTGCCACCCGCACGACCAACCAGGGCCGGGGACAAACTGCAACCGAAGTACGCGCCCTTAGCGGGAACCGAACCCGGGCCTCTCCAGACCGCAGGCCGACACTCTAACCGCTGAGCCAAACCGGCCAGGGCTGGCACAAATCTTTGATGGAATGTTCAGCAAAGAAATAATTTTGTATATACAAAGATATAGTTGCCATTTGAAAAGTTGTATAGAGAATGTTTAAATTTACCCACCTTAGATTATAGCCCAAAGAAGGATTTTATTTAAAATGAAAGCTGAGCCCTGGCCAGTTTGGCTCAACGGTTGGAGTGTCAGCCCGAAGACCAAAACGTCGTGGGTTTGATTCTAGTCAAGGGCACATACCTCAATTGCGATTCAGTCCCCAGCCCTGGTCGGGGTTGTGTGGGAGTCAGCCAATCGACATGTCTCTCTCACGTCGATGTTTCTCTCTCTCTCTACCTCCCACTCTATTTGAAGATGAATAGAAAAATATCCTTGGGTGAGGATTAAAAAATAAATAAGTAAATAAATAAATAAAATAAAAGCTGAAAATTTTGACCAAGATAAGCATTTGTTAGTTATAATTACTTGAAGTCTTTACGACGTGTTTTGATTTTAGCCTATGAATTAGATGAGCTCTTAGAGGAGATTTTGCTGAGTCATTTGAAAGCAAAGTGAGACCCATAGGCCAGTGAGCTGGGGGTCAAGGAAAGAGCTGAAGAGCAGGTCAGTCTGCCAGGGTGTGCAGATGTGTGTGTGTGTGTCCAGGCTGAATGTATTGTTAAGAATTGGCCATTTAGAAGAATTTATTCTTCTATTATGCTGTTATACTCCTATGCTGTTCTAGTCTACTCATATGCTATTATGATCTTTCCATGAAATTACCTCTTTTAGTGTTGAACAACATGAAGTAACTTCAGCTCTTTCCTCTTTTAGACCACTGCTCTTCCAGACAAGTGAACATGTGGCCAATAGTCCTGCACTGGGGGACATTATTCCATTCAGCATCATTATTCAGTTTTTGTTCACAAGAGCTCCCGCTGAGCTGAAATCCCCCTTCCAGGTAATAACGTGAAGCAACAGTCCTGTTATGAGCCTTCTGTCTTCCCTCTATGAATACAGAACCCCATTCACTGAATGCATTCCTGGCCTTCTCTTTGTCCTGTTTAGTCATGGATTTCTGTCTTAGCAGTGAGTCATTAAGGAAGGAAAATTCCCATTGCCCTGCAGTGTAAGAATTACCTGATGAATCCAGCATTAGTCCTTTAAATAATAATGACACAAGTAATTTATGTTCATAAAGCTTTTTGACAGAGGCCCCATTTTCTTTGCTGACCCACCTTCAATTGGCAAATCCACAAGGCTTTTTGGCAATTAGGAAGTTGCCTCAAGCAGGCATTGGAAGTAATTTCACCTTGAGAGCACTTTCTGAACCAGCAGTTGCGCCACTCACTGAAGAATATGTATGTATTTTTCCAATGTGTTTCAATCCTTCAGAGGGCAGAATGGTCCCATGCACGTTTCTCCCAGTGGCTGGATGACCACCCATCTGAAAAGGACAGGCTCCTCCTCATCAGGTAAAGCCTTGTGTTCCAGAGCCGCCTGTTTCTTCTTGAAGCCCAGGGAGAGTAGGAGACACAGAGGAAGAGGGAGGAACAGTACCTGGGTGGATATGTACACATGGTGGCACCTCCTTGAGGCAGGCCACCTCACTGTGTGGGCATATACACGCTGGAGCACCTGACTGTCAGAACCACTGGGCACAGCAATTTTTGCTTTCCAGTTCCAAATCTTCATATCTCTTTTGTGCTATCCCATGCCTGATGCAGCCCTAAGAACTATGTACTTCTGGTTTTGAAAATCAACTTCAGCTATGAAAAGACCCCTTGTCTTAGCTCCTCATTTTCTGCTTCATTTTCATGGGTTGCCATTACTGAATTGGTGGAGCACAGATGTGAGTAAACTTTTAAAAATACTCAAACATGACACAGTTATCAGTGGAAAACAAGGACAACCCAGCAGCTATCCAGATACCATGTGCCTTCCAGTAGTGCCCCACAAGAGTATTTATGCACGTACACAGACACAGACACACCCTACTGCCCAGCCATGCCCAGGGTAAGATACTTTAACTTCATATATGACTTAATAAGCATCTCTCTTACATCAGCATTCTCCTGAAATTGTTCTCACCACCACCTCCAGAGACCTCTTAGCTACCAAACCGAAGCATTTCTGTTCTTATACTCTACAGCTTCAGCTGGAGTTGACCACTGCTTCCTTCTTGAAACTCCTCATTGACTGGCTGATCTAAAACATTTTTTAAATATTTTAAAAAATTTATCTTTATTGTTGAGAGTATTACAAATATCCCACATTCCCCTCGCCATTACCCCCCCTCCACTCAGCTTCAGCCCCACCCCAGGCCTTCCCCACACTGTCGTCTGTGTCCACGGGCTGTGCATATATGCATGTAAGTCCTTTGGTTAATCTCCTCCTGCCCCAAACACACTTTTCTTGGTGCTCACTGTGTGCTAGGCCTTGAGAACAAAGCAGACTGAGGCACACTCTGCCTTCTTGGAGCTTCCATGGCATCACAGTTATCTGTTTCTGTTCTAACCTTTCTGGCCATTTTTACCCTCAGTCTCATTTGCTCAGTTATCTTCTTCTGTACACTCCTGAAATGCCATCATTCCCCACAGTTTGTTCCTGGCTCATTTTCCTTCACATTCTATCTTTACTTTGGTCCTCAAGTGAGCTCATCCAGTGGCTCCCAGATCTGTGACTCACCTTGATTGCCTAGGGCCTCAGGCCACATACCTGCCACTCAAAGTTCCATAGAAATCACAAACACAAAATGTTAAAAATAAATCATCTTTCCTCTCAAATCTGCTCATTGTTCTAGACTCCATGTCTCAGAGTGTCACCATCACTCCCCAGCAAGCTAGAACTTTAAGTCGTCATTCAGCTCCTCATCACCCTTTCCTCCAAATCCAGTTGTTGTACCTCTTAATTAGCTCTGGAAGCCATTCTCAGTGCAGAGGATCCTAAAGATGTTGATCTGGGATCACAGTCCCAAACAGGGCTTTCCTGAGCCAAAGTACAGGCAAAGAGTTGGGTTTCCAAAGCCAGTGTGTGTGATGTGCTATCAACCATGTTTGCACCTGGAATCGCTTACAGAGCTTTGAAAAATCCTGATGTTCAGGCCACATTTTGACTACCTGAGACTCTCTGTATCTGGGACCTGGCATGGGATTTCTTACAGCTGCACAGACAGCTCTGCAGCACAGACAAGGCTGAGATCCACTGCCCTGGTGTCCAGTGAGAGCCCCCACCAGGAGGGATGCTGGGAGAGGTCACTGAGGAACACCAGCTCTGCCTCAGGGAGTGGCACTGAGCTCTCAGGTTTGGTTCCCAGAGCCTGTCTGAGCCACTCACTTTCCATGCACCTCTGTGAAGAAAAAGTAGATTAGCTTGCTGGTGTGGCTCCGTGGATTGAGCATCATATCATGCACAGAGAGGTAGAGAGGTGGAGAGGTCACCAGTTTGATTCCTGGTCACAGCACACGCCCAGGTTGCAGGTTCAATCCCCAATAGGGGGTGTGCAGGAGGCAGCCGATCAATGTACATCAATGTTTCTGTTTCTGTCTCTCTCTTTTCCTCTCCCTTCACCTCTCTCTAAAAAAGTCAATAAAAATGTATTTAAAAAGTAGGTTAGCTTGGGCCCCTGCTCTTTGTCCTTGCTTATCTGTTACTCTTCTTAGTTATGAGCATCTGACCTAGAAATGGGAAAGGATGCCAGGTGAGCCTTCCAGCCTTCCATGAGACTGGTGAAAACTGCCCTCCTCAGAAAAGGCTTTGGGCCTAGGATTTAGAGTGTCCTTGTAGATTTTTTTGTTCAGAGTCCCAAAGACTCACTTAGCTGCAACTCACTTGGTAATAGAAAAGTATTTAGAATTCAGTTAATTGAACAATGTTCATTTTTGTCTTCTTAATAAGTTGGAATGAGTTCATCCACAACAGTGCCCTGCTGTGGACACATCACAAATCTTTTTTCTTTTGCTTCATTTTAAAAATGTCTCCTGGGTGATTTCATCAGCAGTGCTGTTGCTAAACCTATATTTAGCAACTGAAATTCATGCTAAGAAATAAAGTCATGCTTTGCAAGTAAGTTCTGTCCATCACTCCACACATGTCTGATATCAGAATCTTCATGCTCTGGGCAACAAACCAAGCTCTCCCTGGGGGATTCCAAAACAGTGGCTCCTGCCCAGGCTGTCGGCAATGTAGGGAGCTTTGTCCTAGAGAATGTTCTCTCTTGTCTATCATTGCAAACGGATGTTGTCCTTGCATGCTAACGCACCGCTGGATTGAGTTCTTTGCCCTGTAGATAAGCCCAGGGTGAGTATTGCTCTTTAAATGTCAGTAAATTTGTTTTAGCTTTGGGGGAAAACCTTGTTAAATTTACTCTTCTGTTCCCCCAGCGTAATATGTTAGGCTGCCATGAAACAGGGTAAAGTGAGGATACTGTGACTACTGCTGCTGAATAAATGGCAAATAATGAACTCTCTTCTGCCTTCCTTTCTGTTTCCTTTTGACACCAGATGTTTCTGTAGAGCTTGAGTGGATACTTGTCAAGTTAATTTTAAAATCAGAGTTACCACTGACTCATGGGGCCAAGTGGTATAAGTGGGGAAAACTGTACCTACTCAGCTCCCACCAATCAGGTGCTCCAGAAGTGTGTGCCCTCGGGTACAGAGCCTGTACCCTGGGGAAGACCTGTGGGTCTGTAACTGTTGAATGTGTTTTCAGTAAAGGTAAAGACTGAATTTTTGATGAAAAGATTTCTAAAATTCTGCAGAAGTGGTAGGATTGATGTCAAGCCCATTTATTCTTTTTTATTATTATTATTTTTATTTAGAGAGAGGGAGAGAGAGATAGAAACATCAATGAGAGAGAACATCGATTGGCTGCCTCCTGCATGCCCCTCACTGGAGATTTGGCCCACAACCTGGGCATGTGCCCTGACCAGGATTCGAACTGGCGACCTCTTGGTGTATGGGTCAACACTCAACCAATGAGCCGCACTGGCCGGGATAAGCCCATTTATTCTTGATGTTTGTAATAGAGCAACAACTCTTCATATTGTGACCCTCTTGTCTTTCATTTTTCCTTAGTCTTAGTAGAACACCTTTACGATGTAAGAAATGCTTACAGATTTTATTTGCCTGTTGGTATTTTTATCTAACAATTCTCATACAAGTCTCAGTGCTAGATGCATCCTTGGACCCCTTGCCCTTCTGCCCACCCTGGTGCAGGGCCCACAGGCTAGGAGCCATTCCCTCAACTCCTCCGATGCCCCTGTGGCACTAGATACCTACCAGTTTTGGAAACTGGGTGCCTGAGATGAGACCGAAAGGGAAAGCCAGGGTTTAACTGCTTGTGAAGGCACATGGTAGATCTTGAAATCATTTGTATATTTCAGTATTAAGTACACTGATACTTAATGCCTGACAAAAATCAATTTTGTTTTTCATAAAAGCCTCCACTTGGCTCATAAAAGCCTCCACTTGGCTAGTTTATAGCACATTGAGCAGTGTTGCCATATTGCAAACGATTCCTGTACTAATTGTTTGCACAATTCCTGTACTAATTTTATTTTTCAATAAGCGTACTAATAATCCTTTTTGGTTACAAACCAGAGTTAGGACTAGTTCTTACTTTCAAGAAAGCTGATGTTTTTTGCCCAAGCAAATGAAGTAATTTCATAATTGCTTGAAAATCTCACTCTGATTTTATGTGGGAGGGCAGTTTTAATTTGTGTTTCTTTTCATAATTCTGATGGTGTTTTTGATGAATACCAAAAATACTAACCAAACTCATTTCTGAACTCTCTTCTACATAGTGTAGTTCATGCATTGTTCTTTTCAATGCAAATGAAACTGCTAAGTTGATTTTTGTATTGTATTAGATAAAATGGATCTGACCCATTCAGTACAGAACAATTAGTTTCTGAGAATTTCAGCACACTGGTTTCTAACACACACACACACACACACACACACACTATTGTCTCAGAGACAACTGGGGCACTGGGGATTTTTCTACTGTGTATATGTCTCTAGGGACTACATTTTGGGATTGGGATGATTGCCCAGGATGCCATAGCAACTTGAAGAGCTACTAAAAGAAGCAAAAAAATATTTTAACTTGTTTTTATTGATTTTTAAAGAAAGAGAGGAAGGGAGAGAGATAGCAACATCGATGTGAAACAGAAACATTGATCGACAGCTTCCTGCATGTCCCCTACTGGGCATCAAGCCCACAACTTGGGAATCGAACCAGGACCTTTTAGTCCATAGGATGGCGCTCAATCCACTGAGCCACACATTAAGGCTCCGCTCTGACATAAACTAAGGCATCTCATAAAACATTCTTCTCTGAGAGCATTAAATTCCATTTGCTTCTTTCGAGGACCCCAACACTCATGTTTCTCCTCTCCTTCTGTACTTTGCTTTCCTTTTCAATATAGTTCTATCTGCTTGTATCTCTAATTCCTATTTTTATTCTTTCGTCATGCATTTGTGAAGCACTAGGTCCTAGGGTTAAATAAATGAGGAAAAAAAACAGCCCTAACCCTCAAAGTTACATCGTAACAGGGGAAGTGACAAATGAACAGATACACCCTCTCATGTGGTACAAGTGTATACATCTTGCTCAATTACATGAAGAATCTGAGGCCTCCTGGAAGTGTGGTGGGGAGAACAGTATTTAAGTGCTTTATAGGTACATATATGTACCTGGAGGAGGGCTAAGTGCTTCAGAGTACTATTTTTTAATTCTCATAACTGTATCATGTAGTATTCTTCCCATGTTGCAGATGAGCAAGTCAGCTCACATGTAGCCCAGCTAGGTAGTGGGGCAGAGCCTGATACACCAGCAAGGCTGATTAAATAAGGGTGGCCAGTCCTCCACATCGTGTAATCATGCCCTGAACAGAGAGTATGGAGCCAGCCTTCGGGGATCCCAGATGCTGGGAACCTGCTAAGCCAGGGCTGTGGATGCAGGTGCATCAACAAAGTGGCTGCAATTCTTTTGTGCTGCCTGGAGGGCATTTGAGGTGGGTCCTAATTAAAGAGCTTCACAGGGAAGAAAGCAAGGAAGGGGGAGAGCATTACAAGGATAAGGAAGATAATCAGAGAGGCCTAAGAGAATGTTTTGATAACCATGAGGTATTCAGTGTGGTCGAAGAGAAACTGCCCCTTTTGTAGCCTTGTTAGAGACATTTATGTAGTCATATTTGCACACACATCCTGATCTCTCCCTGGGTGGGCACTGGGGTTGAACTTGGGGTCACAAATGAGGTGCAGCTGCTCTGCAATGTATGTTGGTAACACGAGCAATGGAAACAAATGATTTGAGGTCCCTTTTAGGCCACAGCAAACTGTCTAAAACCCAGCAGTAGCACAGACAGGGCTTGGGGCATGGTGACTTTACATTGTCTTAATGGCCAGTGATGGACCACAGGCAATGAATCTTGCTCTAGTGCAGCTGCTCCACTAGCACAGGCTGAGACGGCACTAGGATGACCAACATTTACAATGCTACAGCAGTAATTAGGGACTGGATGTGGAAATGCCTAAGACAAATTAATAGGATTTGGTAACTGATTAAGTGTAGCACTGAAGGAGAGTTTTAGATAGAGGCCCTTGGGAGATGATGGTGCCTTTTGTTGAAATCAGAAAAGGTGGGAAGAACACTACCCTAGGGGTGTTTTTTTAATCCCCTAGGTTTTTCTTTTCTTTTTCCTGTTTGTTGAGAGACTTCACTTTTTAGAGCAAATTTAGGTTCACAGCAAATTTGAGAAGGTACAGAGATTTCCCCTACACCCCCTACCCCCACACATGAACAGCCTCCCCCCCATTATCAACATCCCCACCACAGTGGTCCATTTATTACAATCAGTGAACCTGCCCTAACACATCACTATCACCCACAAAGCAGGCTGAGTTTACACCAGGGTTCACCGTGGTGCTGTACATTCATTCTGTGGGTTTGGACTGATCCAGGTTTCTGACAGGTGGGTTTGAGGGATACCTAAAAAAAAAATCAGATTAAAAATATCCGGAACGCAGGTAGAAAGAGAAATCAGGAGTGAGGTCAGGGCTGGAAATGAGATTGGAGATTGAATTATGTATATATGTAGTAGCTGAGACTATGAAAGCAGATATTGGAGTTAGAGGGGTACCTCAGAACGAGGGGTGAGCTGGACAGACTCCAGCTTAAGTATATTCCCACACTTAAATGAAAATAATGTACAAACCTGACCAAGGATTAAAGTTTGTGTTTGGGAGCAAAACAGCCAGCTGAGAATTAGATATTAGATGGGAATTGAGACTGAGTATGTGAGCTAATGGTATTAACTTATAGAGACTTTCTAATCTCAGAGTTGTGAAACTTTTTAACAATGATAAAAATTTGATTGTTTTACCTGGGACTGAAATAGACCAATAATAAATACATACATATGTGTGTATATATATCTCTTTTAACCATTGTTTAGCTCTACTTAAAACATGATCTAACACTTAAACAGATCATCTGGTTCAAGAATTGAAAACTTTTCTTATGAAGGACCATATACTAAATATTTCAGGCTTTGCAGACCATGTGGCCTCTGCCTATTTAATTCTTACAATGTAGTATCAACGCAACCATAGACAATACATAAACGAACATGCATAGAGCTGGATTTGGCCTGTGGGCGGTTTGCTAAACCCCTGGTCTAGTTCATGAGAACATTATAATCATAACTGGCTGGTATCACATACCCTTGACTACATTCAGATGCCTCATTATCACACATTTGCCAGAAGTTTGAGCCCAAGAGCAATTCTCCTTGCAGGTTCATGTTCCATCAAATCACAGAAATACAGTGTATACCCAAGGGCCCCAGCCCCCACGCTCTTGAGCATGCCTTCCCACGGTGTGAGCTCTGAATAGGCACAAGCTACACAGGGCTTCTCAAGTCTAATAGAAAAATAGAGGACAAGAAAACTGTGAACCATCTCAGAGGCCAGAGAGTCCCTGATTGTATAATTATACCACTAAGTATAATACAAACTGAAAATGGTTTAGTTTTGCACCTTAACCTTAGTAACACTACCAGTAAATGTTTGAAGGCAGTTGGTCACTTAGCTTATGGAATTGGGCAAAGCAGTTTCAGAAATGGGCTTGCTTTTATATATTGACACCCTCTAAGCTGTTTTATTTATATAATTTTCTTACACTGTTTTCATTTTGGTTTTCAGGGGAGCCTTGGAAGCTTATGTTCAATCAGTAAGAAGTAGAGAAGGCAAAGAATTTGCACCAGTTTATCCCATAATGGTTCAGCTGCTTCAAAAAGCTATGTCCACTCTTCAGTAATAATGTGAAGTATTTCTTATTCTCCATTTTGTGCTAACCCATTCAGGTTTGGCAGTTAAACTAAATAACACATATTCTAAAAGAAAGCTACTATTTACTATTTTAAGAATGTAATCAACTTTTCTGTATTTCCTATTGCTCTTTTTCTGTTTAATCTCTTTAGCCCTTTTACTTAAGTACCATAAAATGTCAAAAATCACCATCACCTTCAAAACCAGGGACATAATTCCAGGAAGACATCCAACTCTTTTCTCTCCTTTCAGGCTTTCCCAGCACATAACTGAGTGCCCCTGTCGGTATGCACACATCCTTAGTCCCCACTGCTTTTTAAGATATATGATTAAGTTACACAATAAGTACCCTGCTTCCCCCAACCTTCTTCCTTACTACATATGTAGGCCAGTGGTTTCCATAGCTGGCTGCACACTAGATAGAATCAGTGGTGGAAGCTTTTAAAAATGTTGATATTAATTTGCACCCCGTATTAACACATCTGGGATAGGAGCCAAGCATTAGTAAAACATTTTTATAAAACATCCCCAAGTGTTTCCAATATGCAACAAAGTTTGGGGACCACTCAAAGCAAAGATGTAGAACTAAATGTTGTTTAAATATGCCATATTGTATCTATAATAAAGATAGAGCAAAGCTGTCTTTACATTTTGTGTCATTTTATTTAAAAGCAGACTTTTGGGGCTGTTAAACTTTGTAACAGATGCCAAGTTAAAAATAAAAACAATTTTACTCTACAAAGATTCTAATAAATAGTAAAAACATTTTTTTTTTTTTTTTTAATCCTCACCCGAGGACATTTTTCCATTTTTTGTTCAGGTAGAGTGGGAGGGAGAGAGAGAAAGAGAGAGAGAGAGAGAAACAGCGATGTGAAAGGAACACAGCGAGTGGCTGCCACCCGTACAACCGACCAGGGCCGGGGACAAACTGCAACCGAGGTACACGCCCTTAGTGGGAACCGAACCCGGGTCTCTCAGGACCGCAGGCCGACGCTCTAACCTCTGAACCAAACCGGCCAGGGCTAGTAAAAACAATTTTACTCTACAAAGATTCTAATAAATAGTAGATAATCTAGGTCTTTACTTTTCTATTGCCCTTGTCAACATTTTATTTTAATTTACTGCTTAAAACCCATCAGCAACTGATTTTCATCCCCCTAACCTGATATTCTGATGTCTCATACATAATGTTCAGTCAAAATCAAACAGCAGAAGTCAGAGATAAACAATTTTTTTTCCATTTTATTTGAAATAATATACAAGAATATAGTGTGCAAAATTTAGGGGCAACATCATGAAGTGTAATGAACTGAAATCAATTTTACAGCTGTGATTCCTAACCAGAAACACCACTTGGTAAGCAACATGAAAAGCCATGATTGTAGCTCAGAGCAAAAGCAACTGTATTGCCAATGTATTTGCTCTAACTTGGAGGAAAAGTAAAGTGCAAGTGTTGCACTGCAATAAGTGCAAAGTCTGCCCCCACCATAAAGATATGATGACAAAATACGATATTTAAGATACGTGGCTGAGGAGATACAGAACACAAATGTTTAAAAATACAATGGTATCAACTGTTAATAGCACCATTACAGTGACTATATTCCAATGCTATTAACTTTACCTTCGCCTGGGCTAGGTCTCCATTGGAAATAATGGATGGGTGCTGCCACCTGGTGCATAAACTCAGCATGCTCAGGTAACTACAGCAGGTGGCTCTTATGCTGGGAGGCTGACACCCCAGCCGCCTGCCAGTGTTCTGGTCTTGGCACTGGCCAGGCTAGGAGCTCCTGTGTTTGGCACAGATGCTGAGCCATGTGGTGGCTGCTCAAAGAAAGGCCAACTCCCAGCTTCGGTTTCATTCCATTATGTATACAATACAGATTAATAAGCAGTAAGGAGCCAATGTATAAACAGCAGTTACATATTTTTAAATTCCCCTTTTGTACAATTTAAAATAAAACATGTATACACTTCTCTCTTTCTACTGTACTTTAGCACCACAGGATATCAATTTTCAAGCCTATATTACCTGATAGACATATGTGAAGTTTGGAGGAAAAATAAGGCAATTTGGTTTACAATGTTGATAGTTTTAGCTTACTTAATGCTCTAATGGAGAAAGCAAATCCTCACTCTTATTATTATATCATTTCAAGACTCAATGCTATCAGTTTCTTATGGTCACACGAATTCAGGACAAATGGTGAGCCCATGATCTTCTTAAGTCTTCCCATCAACAGTCTAGCCTTATGCAAATGCAAACTTAATGTTAAGTGTCCTGGTTTAATGTTGTTGTGAGCCCTGTGGAGATAAAATGAAAACTCAGTGAATGTTTGCAAATCAATAACCAGTAATTCTACAAATGAAAGCTAAGATGAATAGTATGTTTATAAGCTTATAATTTTTAAAAATCACTTCCTCAGAGGTGGGATTTTAATATAAGTATGCTAATATCTGATGGCTCAAGCATTCAGAAAATTTATGGAAACGAAGAGAGGAATAAACTAGGATGTGCAGAAAAAGGGATGTAGGCAGAGTCTTACATGGAATTCTAAGGAAATCAAGGACTTCAAGAATCCTGTTCACTCACCCTTTTATATTGGAATTTAAAAGAAATTCTTGAAAAATTTAGAGATGTGAACTGCTAATTACCATTAAGAAACAGGCACATAAACACTGCCCTCCTGCTGCAAACTGATGTTTTCTTCATTTTTAGGTATTTCAAATTGAGCTCGTTCTATTCTATCATGTGACATTTTCTTGTAATTAATCTAAAAACATTTTAAAAGGTGCTAGTCTAGTAATGGAAAAGTTCCAAGAATCAAGTCTACCAAGGTAGCATTATTATGGTACAAACTTTTTCCCAGTCTTTCTGGGCTTTCCTATTTCTTCCCTTTCCTGAGGTTTTTAATCTAGAAATGTACAAATGCCAGAAGTCCCCATGAAAGTTGAGTAATGTACCCTATCCCTCTATAACTCCTCACAAATTAAGAAGAAGAAGAAAAAAAGGCTGTTGAGACATGCTATACCCAAGTTAGAAAAAATTTTTTTACTATGATATTGAGTTAATTAACACCCATTTTCAACCCAAGTAGAAATACTACATTCCAAAATTTTTTTTACACCTCAACATTTCCAGACAAGCATTCTTCTTAAGCATGTCTGACATTTCTACTTTCCATGCTAAAAGAGTAAATGGCACTGATGATGAAAAGAAAGGCAACTTGCCTTTATATGATGGTATAAAAACATCATTAGTTTTTGAAGTACAAAAAGGCTGAGAAGCAGCATCAACACAACCTTTTAAAAGTTATAACAACTGCCAGTACAATTTTGGGTGAAGAGTGAAGATAATATTAAGCAACTACTTGTTGAAACATACTGAATTGGTTCTTTTCCTTTTCCAACAGTCAGGATTTAAACGTTTTTGTTCCTCAGCCAAAGCCTTTGCTTCTAATGTGTACATCCTTCTCTCTTCATTCTTCATTTTCTTCCACCTGTCACCCAGGATCACACTTATGGCTCTGTAAAAATAAGTATTTATACAATGCTGACGGCAAGAATTTTTCACAAAATTTATGTCAAGTGCTGCTACTTCAGCAAGAAATATAAAAGACAAAAATCTTGTCCAACATAGAGGAGGGAAAAGGTCAAGACTATAGTAGTAATTTCCAGTAAAATCTCAAGTCACATGGTCCATTTATCATAATCTTGGCAGTTAAAAGTCCTGGAATAATGCCAATATTTCCAAAGGACATCTAAAACTGCTAAAATATGGATGTTATGTAAAGTTTAGATTTAAAGAAAAAAAAGTTAAATATTTCAAAGAAATGGGTTAAATTACCATTGGATCTATCCTGGTACATTGGTTTTTAAAAGATGTTTGAGATATTAAGGCAGACAATAAAGTATTAATCTTATATTAAAAGCTATTTTTACTTTCTGTTTGTGGCCATAACCTGTCAAATGATGATAAAAGTATTTTTTTCATTCATGGAGTCGCAATAAAAATGTGGCACTAAATATGCATACCTTACTGTTTACCTCCTAAGACAAATAAACCTTCGGCAATATTTGTATTTACCACTTGAGAAAACTGGTTAAACTCAAAGGGAAAGCAATCAAATTGGTAAGACATCATGAGAGAAATTTGAAGCTACTTCCTATTTATATTTGTTAGTCTGTTCCCAAACCTACTAAAATGGTCTCATTCGAGACACATAGACACAAACCATTTTCCTTCAATGAAAAGCTTTTAGCCATTAATTTCATGACACTCAGACAAAACAAAAGGTCCTGGAATGATTGCATGAAGTATATACAAGTGATTTTACAATAACTGACAGAAGCTAGAGATATGCATCAGAGCTTTAGAGAAACAGTAACCACAGAAATTCTATTAAAAAAATATATAGCAAATATTTTAATCCAATAAATTGATACAATCAAACACTGTACTGCATCTTCCTTTATTATAATAAAAACCAGTTTCTATAGTCTCTAGGTTAAAGGTACCACATAATGGTTGACACATTTACCAGTTAAACCAGTAAGAAATACTCAAATATGTAGCAATTCCTAAATCAGAGATGCATTTGATATAAGAAGCCTCTCCCACTGTTTTGTTTTTCTTTCACTGATTTTTAGAGAGAGGAAGTGAGAAGGAGAGAGAGATAGAAACATTGATGAGAGAGAACATCAAGTGGCTGCCTCATGCCACCCACTGGGGATCGACCCCACAACCTGGGCATGTGTCCTGATGGGGAATCGAACTGGCGACTTCTTGGTGCATGGGTCAACACTCAAACCACTGAGCCACACTGGCCAGGCAAGAAGCTTCTCTTTTTATAATGTAAATACTTAGCCCAGCCGGTGTGGCAGTGTAGCTCAGTGCCTAAGCATCGTCTCATGCACCATGAGACTGCTGGTTCGATTCCTGGTCAGGGCACATGCCTAGGTTGTGGGCATGATCACCAGTATGTGTGATGAATGTTAAGTAGACTTATTGTGATCATTTTGCAATATATACAAATATCGAATCATTTATACAACTCAAACTAATATAATG